TCAATTGGGAGTTTGGGGCCATAGGGGAGAGGGGAGGAAGACATGGAATGAGAAAAATGTATAGCTCGATAAAACGAAAAACTTAAAAATAAATAAATAAAATGTAGAAAGTGGAATGAGCTACAGCCCCCTCTAAGTTGTATGGTATTTAAATCCACCAACACATTCTGTGCAGCAAAATTTTGGATTTTATGCTTTGCATTCTTCCATCTTATTATAATAACAAAGTCCATCTCAGTCATCTGCCTGGCCGGAAGATCCACATCTCTCACTGTGCTTTTCCTACTTAACATTTAATAAAGTGTTATGGGCCTATGATTGAGTATCTGGTGAAGTGAGAACCAACAGAAGTCTGGTCAATAGTTTATTAAAAAGTGAATTGGAAAAACAGACTCAGGTTTACAGAATGAAGTATATACCACTGCTGATCCAGCTGCCCCTGTCCTGCCATTCTGCCCAACAGTCATGAGGACCAACCACAAGGCTGGTTCCTGCTCTACCCAAGAGACAGAGACATAGCATGTGACTCCCTCCATAGTTTTGTCAGGCCAGGGATCCCGAGAAAACCAATCGCTCTTCACCCCTAATGTCATTGAGTGAATGGAGTGAGCTCCCACGGCATTTCCCTTTTTTCACTAATTAAGAAGGTTCTCATCCTAACATAAACTGTATGCAGTATTGTCCAGAAGAGAAAAAGATAATAACATAAATAAAAATGAAAATACAACCATCAAGAATGGCATCAAGCAAGAAACACATTCTAAATGTCTAGACCACGGGTAATTGGCAAATTATAGAGATTGCTCCAGCAGCTGTCCTATCCTGAAGAGTCTAAGTCTTGTACCTAATTCACCCTTAGCTAAGGCACGAGAGAATTGTAATATAACTAACTACCTAGTCCTCAACCCCATCCAGGACCTGAGAATGGAAGCAATAGTACCTGCGTCAGCAAATGCAAGCAGGTGAGTTGCAGGAAATGACAGAAAGAGCTGGCTGCCTGGACAGTCACCCAAAGTTTTTCTGAAACCTTGAAGCATCCAACTTTGGCTATAGGTCTAGAAGGTCTGACAGACCATTTTCAGAAGCAGGAAAATTTGAAGGACCTCTCCTACCCTGTCTTAGCAGTTGCTTATCCTTGTATCCTGCTTGTCCAGATTGGACAGCGTGCTTACTCTCGGCAGTTGACAGAAGGATAGTTGTTTGCCTGATAGGAATATTTGCCAAGAAGAAAGCAAGTGTCTTCGCTGCCTCTCATCCGTTTAACAGTAGATTGGCACTTCAGGGGCAGCCATGTCTCATGTCAACCCAATTACAAGTCATTGAAACATTTAAATGTCATATTCTGTAGGTCTTTGAAGTGTTTGAAGACTTCCTGTCTCTATGGAATACATCCTTGTGCATCTAGAAAACCTAACTAACATGATTATATGTCTGAAAAATATCAGTGACTTTTAATATATAATTCCTAATAACCTATATAGATTAAAGACTAAGGCTTCACATTATAGAAATAAACAATCTGTAACAGATGTGCAGTATATGGACAAGGACCTCAGTTGTGACAATATATAAAAAATATCATAACCTGAGGAAGAAACACATAGTGCAATATGACAAAAGTAACCTTAATTTGCAGCAATATACAAAATATCCTAAATAGAAATAGAAACATTCATACATACAGTATGAGAAAAATAATCTTACATTGATATCAATATACAAATATACTTTAAAAGGAAGTAGAAACACATATGCAATATAAAAAATAATTTTGAATTTATATCAATAAATAAATATTAAAAAGGAATAGGTAAATAATTTTGCATTTGTATCTATATACCAGAATTTATACCAAATGCAAATTATCTAAAGCTGATAGCTGACTATTTAGATTACAAGTAGATATAATCATGTACCTCATTGTTCTATCATATCTATCCTCATTTTTATTCCAAATTAGATTCCTGAGTCTAATCTTTATTATTCTGTTTACATCCCTATAACAATTTAAAACCAACCTCTTATACATGACAATTATCCATAACCCTGTGAAAAAACAGAAAAATATTCATCCTACATATTGAGACAGGGACCTTCCTGTTTCTAGAATAAATATTGCTGTTTAGGAGGCATGGACATCTCTAGGGGATCCTGTAAAGAAAACTAAAACAGCTGGGTGGGTATGGTGCACGCCTTTAATCCCAGCACTCAGGAGGCCAAAGCAATGGGATTCTATGAGTTTGAGGCCTGGTCTTCAGAGTGAGTTCCAGGTTAGACTCCAAAGCTACACAGAGAAACTCTGTCTCAAAAAACCAAAACCAAACAACCAAACAAAAACAAAACAAGTCAAGCAGTGATTAAGTCTCATGACTAGTTGGAATATGTGCAGCCAGTCTCAGAGGAATGGGGGTAACAATTCTCTCAAGATCTGACTGGAATTCTCTAAAAGGGTTGACTGTCTCAGCTGGCCACTTTGGAATTGTCCTGAGCAGTGTGTAGTCCAAAGCCATTCTTTGAGTGGTGTTTATCAGCTCAATGTTATCACATACCGAGGCAGAGTTGTTGTTGTGAGGTCCCCTAGTCTTTTGGAAAACTTCAACAATCACAGTTAGGAAAATTTATTGTTCACTGTGGAACATATAAACATTATTAATGACAAAATGGAAAGTTTAAATTTTAAGATAATGATATATCTAAAGAAAGGTTATAAATAGTCAAAAAATAAGCATTAGGGGAAAGAGATTTGTTCTAACAATAGTCACTAGATTTTGGTTTGCTCCTGTCCTACACAAGGTGTCTCTTCTCTTATGAGACAGAGACTCTGAATTTTTACTTTAATAACATGTTTCAATTAAGACAATAAGAGACTCACACTCCAACTCCAAAGCCTGCTTTAATTGAGTTGGGTCTTCAACATTTTGAGAAATTGAGAGATATTAATTTTTAGGTAGTGAGAAATTACCTTCTAGAGAATATTGGTGCTAACAGCTCACATTTTTCTTTGTACAGTATTTTTTCTTGATAGTTTTTCTTTATTCTATAGCTGCCTAGATGTTCAAGGTCTTTTGACTCCTTAAGATGGGTATTTCTATTTTCCTGTAAATACAAATATTAGAACGCTGCCTTGACCCTTATTGGATTAGTTTTCTTTTGACATGTTGAACTGTCACATAGGGTGATGAGCTATCAATTCTCCTTGTTAAAGACCTCTCCTTGATATAGGAGGCCACTTGTTTGTTTTCCTGGCCACCAAGACTCACAATATTCACACAATTAATCTGTGTATGACCACTTGGTTGTGACTTGCCAGGAAAAGTTCTGGCATCTAATTCTGGAAGGGCTAAATGGCTTCTCTCTGTCTCTACCTACTTTCTCCCAGATTTCAGTTTAGTTTACAAACCTACCTCTATTCTGCTCTGTACAGGCCCAAGACAGTTTCTTTATTCACTAACCAATTAAGGCAACACATATACAGAAGGACTTCCCACATCACCTCCCCTTTTGTGTCTAAATAGAAAGGAAGGTTTTTAACTTAACACAGAAAAAATACATATAATCATATAGTTATCAAGCAAAAATTACAGTTACAATATCTATATCTACATTATCTTTCATCATAATTAAGGAAAACTATAACTATATATTCATCAACTCCATCAAAGACTCCAGAAGGATATAATATTACCAAAGTAAACAGGAATGCATTGTAAGAAACTTCCAAAACTCTAAAATTGACAGAAACATCTCACTTTCTGGCCAGTCACCCAAAGTTCTTCTATACCATTGGGGCATCCATCTTCATCCTACAGGCACATAGTATCCAGCAGACTTTTCCATGAAACAGGAAATTTCAAAAACAGTTCCACCTATATTGGCAGTTAGTCCGTCAGTCTCTTTGGTGTCCTGAAGAATGTCTGGCAGACTCTTTTTGCTCTTTCATGAAGCACAAACCCCAAAGGATGATCTCACCTTCTTTAGGCAACGTTAGCAATCATTTCCCTGTATGCTCTTATCATACAGCAAAGCATCAAGCAGTCCAGGCAAGAGCAATTTCTTACCCAAATGGTTAACCAACACCATAATGAGCCTCTTCAGTGCCCATCATCCTCTCGAAGAAGCTTGGTGCTGCCAGGAGCAGATGCATCTCATTGTCATGAAAAATACTAACTTCTTAAAAATATTTTAAGTGCCATATGCTGTAGTCATTGAATGGTTAGAAGAATGCCTATCCATCTGAAATTCATATCTGTCCATCTAGAAAATCTAACATGACTACAAGCTTGAATATTAAATAAGATTATCTATTAACCTATATTTCTTAATTATACGTTACATTTTAAATGAGCTAGACAAACACAATACCTTAAACAAGAACAGATACACACACACACACACACACACACAATATAGCAAAATTGACCTTAAATTTGTATAAATACACCAAGATCCATACCAAAGCATATCTCTATAGCAAATGTTTATAAACAATCATTTAGGGAATTTGAGTGTAGTTCTCTCCAAATTGCTTTCTGCTTTTTGTTGGGTGAAGTAATTTTGGGGGGTGTTCATGGTGACCTTTGAGGGACTTGGTCCATTAAACCACATTAGTCTGGAATTAATGCACAGGTTCTCATCTTCTATGGAAACAAAAGCAGAACATCTTTTCCAAAGCAACATATCCTTAGACTCAAATTTTGAAGTTGAGATAACTTAAAAATATATATGTTGACCCACGGAGACAGTGGGGCTAATCTATTGGGAGCTCACCAAGGCCAGCTGGACTGTGACTGAAAAAGCATGGGATAAAACCGGACTCTCTGAATATGGCGGACAATGAGGGCTGCTGAGAAGCCAAGGACAATGGCACTGGATTTTGATCCTACTTCATGTTCTGGCTTTGTGGGAGCCTAGCCAGTCTGGATGTTCGCCTTCCTAGACCAGGATGGAGCGGGGAGGACTTTGGACTTTCCACAGGGCAGGGAACCCTGACTGCTCTTCAGACTGGAGAGGGAGGGTTCTACAATATTTTTCCATGGATAATGAAATATCTTCCTGGATCACACCAAACAGTTTTCAGAAACTGGGGAAAACTGAAATCGTTTGTTTCTTCAATGATTGACAATCACCGGAGAGATTGGGATCCTGATGAGCCAAGAGACTTCATTGATGCTTTCCTCGCAGAAATGACAAAGCACCCAGAGAAGACTACAAGTTTCAGTGAAGAAAATCTCATCTGCACCACTCTGGACCTCTTCCTTGCTGGAACCGAGACAACATCCACGACCCTGCGCTGGGCTCTGCTCTACATGGCTCTCTACCCAGAAATCCAAGAAAAAGTACAGGCTGAGACTGACAGAGTGATTGGCCAGAGGAGACAAGCAAGCCCGGCTGACCGAGAGTCCATGCCCTACACAGATGCTGTAATCCATGAGGAGACAAGCAAGCCCGGCTGACCGAGAGTCCATGCCCTACACAGATGCTGTAATCCACGAGGGGCAGAGAATGGGAAACGTTGTCCCCTTTAATGTTCCCAGGGAAGTGTCAAAGGACACAAATTTGGATGGATTCCACTTGCCGAAGGGCACGGTGATTCTAACCAACCTGAGTGCACTCCACAGTGACCCCAAAAAGTGGGCCACCCCGAAAATCTTCAATCCAGAGCACTCTTTGGAGAATGGACAGTTTAAGAAGAGAGAGTCCTTTCTGCCTTTCTCAACGGGAAAGAGAGTTTGCCTGGGAGAACAATTGGCCAGGTCTGAGCTATTCATTTTCTTCACTGCTCTTATGCAAAACTTTACCTTCAATGAGAAGCTGAGCCTGAAGTTCAGAAATGGCCTCACACTCACTCCAGTCAGTCACCGCCTCTGTGCTGTCCCCAGACTGTGATGCTGGAGAAGGAAGGAAAAGAAGAAATGGTGGATGTCCTGAAGGTTGCCAGCCTTGCTCATATGAGAGGAGAGTAATGTCAGAGAATGAAAGCGACTCCAGAAATGGTGAAGGAATTGAGCTAAAAGCATTGAATCAAATTTCTGGACGTTGAACCCTAATTTTGTGGTGGGAAAATCATTTATGATCTCAATGGCTTATCTTTTTATCTAATAGTTGCTATGGGATTGATGATTCCTCCTATAATGAAAATGCATTGAAAACTAATTGCTGAATTAAAAATGCTAAGTGCATCATGAAAAAAAAATATATGTTGTTTATTTAGCTACTTCATAGTCAAAAATTCAAAGAAAACAAATAATATACATAATTCAGACTCTCTGTGTATATTTCATATTTATATGGCTTATTTGTTTTTACTCTGTTACTCTTAATATTTATTTTATTATCTTTACTCTTTTAATCTATGACTGTCTATACCCTATCCCTTTAAAGAAAATGTTCTATTTTATTTACAAACCATTTATTTCTTTTTATAACTCTCTATACTTTTTTCTTTTCTATCCAAAGCCTATGTACATTTATCCAACACTGTGACCCATTTAGAGGTCATTTTTATCTGGATATTTCTTATTGTATAGCTGTAACTCTTTTCTAAAATGAAGCACTTCTTAAAATGTTAAGCCTCAGCATGACTAAGGCCAAGGCTGTTTTGCCTTTTACCTCCTCCCAGTCCAACCTGGTGGGGCAGATATCTGTTTGGTGTGAACCTTGGTCACAGCCCCATGGTCAGGCACACACTGTCTATGTTGCCATTAAGCATGTTGCAGTAGTCTGTTCAGGAACCCCATTTAAATGTTCAGCCTCCTAAGAGAGCCAGAGTTCATGCTGCCAACATGGACCAGAAAGCCACCATTTCAAAAAGGCGTGGCTTTTTTTCTGCTATGGGTGAATTAGGAAAACCTCTCTTAAGACACCTGCTGTATGCTGCCTGGTTAAAAAAAAATGCAGCTACACTTTGTTTTTCTATGTCTAGAGTTCATTTCCAAGCTTTCTCAGGATTTACGTGGACATAGTCAACCAAGTTGGAGTGCCAATTTGTTGTAGGAGGCTGCTTGTTTGTTTCCTGGCTGCCCAGACTCCCAAAATAATCATATAGAAACTATATTATTTAAATAATGCTTGGTCCATTAGCTCTAGATTCTTATTAGCTAACTTTTATATCTTGATTTACCCCATCTCTATTAATGTGTGCATCTCCATGTGGCTGTGGCTTACTGGATAAAGTTTCAGCATCTGTCTGTGGCAGGGCTACGTGGTTGCTCTCTGCCTTTCTCCCAGCATTCAGTTTAGCTTTACCAACCTAACTCTATTATGCTCTGCGCAGAGCAAAGACAGATTCTTTATTCACCAACCAGTAAAAGCAAAACATATACAGAAGAACTTCCCATATCATCTCTTGTTCAAATTAAATCTTTATTAATTTTGATGCTATGCATAGCTTTATATCCCATCCATTCATCCATCCATCCACATATCCATACACCCACTCATACATACATCCACCCATCCATCCATCCACCCATCCATCCATCCACCCACCAACCCATTCATCCATCCATCCACTAATCCACCCATCATTCCTACAATACCTCTTACTTTACCCATGTCAACATTTAACTTTGCCCACAGAAGCTTCTCCACAGTGGGCAGCAGGCAGAGGACAGAGAATAAGAGACTGACTGCTCAGCCATACATGAGAGGCTTCATCTACTCCATTACCACTAAGACTCAGAGAACATGAAGGAAGAAGATATAGAAAGAAGGTAAGAACCAGAAATGGGAAGCCTAATGTGGAGTGATGTCCTTGGCCATGACATGGTCATTGTAGTGATGAGCCCACAGCACCTGGCATTACCTGGGTGAGATCAAGGCAGACAAACGCCAGCACAGATTGGTGAAAGGGATCGCTCCCTTCCTGAGGAGCTGTGAGAAGTGGGTAGCAGCTGGAACAGAAAAATCATTGTTTTTTCAGAAGCAGAATCCATTGTGTTCCTCATGATCCACTGAATGGCCCACACTGAACAATGTGTGCAGCACTAACCCGACTTGGTGAGTTTTCAATGGAAAGCTACAGCAACAATACTACACATAGGAACGTACAAAAGAACTGCAAAAATAACTGATACGGGGGAGGGAAGAGTGAGCCGTGGAGGAATAAGAGAGGGAATATTGGAAGAGACAGCTAAAATTAAGGGCCACAAATGAGTGGACGTAGGTAAAGTTTCTACAATCGAAATATCTTTTAAAATGATTATACATATATATGTATCAATATACACATATACATTGATCCATATATGTATATGCATAGACACATATGTAATTTAATAGAACTCCAAGTGGAACTACCTAATAATAGGAAAAACAAAGTCCTAGGTAGACAACTGTCATCACTGAAGGACTCCTCAGTGACAGGATTGGCTTGCATATAATTTAGTAGCTGGCCATGGGCCTGATGAACATGTAATCCTCCAAATATCTCAGGCTAAAGTTATGATTGTTTGATGCTCTCCACAAACTGACATTAAGGCCCCACTGGTAGTGACATCAGTTACATAACTCACTGAGCATGAAGAAGTAGATCTGATGTGTACCTACAGCCATCATCCCTCCTCACTACTGATCATGGCACTGGAAGGTACTCTACACCAACCACAGGTCAAAGATAAACACCAATCTAGAAAGACACCTGTCTCAGTCAGTGTTCTGTTGCTCTGAAGAGACTCCATACCACTGTAACCCTTATAAACAAAAACATTTAATAGGGGTTGGATTTAAGTTGCAGAGATTCAAGTCCTCTGTCATTGAGACATAAAGCATGGGGACATGCAGGCAGATATGATGCTGAAGAAATACCTGAGAGGCCTGCATCCAGGTCTGCAAGTAGCAGGAAAAGAAACTCTGGGGCTTGGCATTGAATTTTCAAGCCTCAGAGTCTACCCACAGAAATATACTTCCTCCAACATGGACACATATCCTATTCCTTTAAAATAGTGTCACAACCTGATGACCAAGGCATTCAACCCTACAAGGATACCAAGGCCATTCTTATTGAAACAACTACAAAACCCTTTGGGCTACACTGGCAACCTGTCCTCATGACACGTTCGTACAATAGTGACATAAATTTTGTGTGAGCAAACAAACACCACCTGATTGTTTATAATGCCCACACTATGAGATAGAATTCATCCCTGACACTCCTCAGATGGTCAAGAACCTGAGACTAGTAAGTCCAAAACCTAGAGGTAAACAAATACCCCAGTTCCTCTAAAGGAATGTGGCAATGCAGCACTCGAAGGCTTCTGCTGTGCTCACAGAACAGCATCTCATCAGCCATCATCAGAGAAGCTTCCTCCTGCAGAAAATGGGAACAAATAGAAACCGCAGCTGACAATGTACAGAGCGAGAGACCCTGGAACACCAGAGCTGAAGGGATGTCTCATCAAACCCTCCCTTGGGGCTCAGGAGCATTGGGGAAGGGGCGACAGGAGGATTGTAGGGGCAGAGGGAAAGGCAGACACCAAGGAAACACAACAGGCTGAGGCACAGCCGCACCCACTCAGACTGTGACCGCATGCACAGAGCCTGCACAGGTCTGAGGAGGTGGACACAGCCCTGTGTGTGAGACAGGAGCTTTCTACCACTGTCAGCCGCTTCCAAAGGGAAAATCAGCTTTCTCCAGCAGGATCTCACTGCCCATGAATCCAAACACAAGCGCAGACCCCGTGCCCAGAAGTACATGGCCAATGCAAAAGAACTCAATTGTATTTTGGACTATTATTGAGTCATAATGCTTTTTGTAAGAAAAATATTTTTTTACCTTACAAGTCCTTTGTTTTTCTCTTATGGTTTTCTAATTTTGTGATTTGTATAGACTTCCTGCTTATGCAAGTGTGTGGGTGTTTGTCTGTGTATATGATTCCTATTCATCTTCTTTATTCTTTTTATTCGTTGTTTGTTCGTTTGCCCTCTTCTGATTTTCCAGCGTGTGTGCGTGCATGTGTGCGTGTGGGCGCGTTTGTGTCTCTTTATTATTCATTGATTGTTACTGAAGATGGAGAGATAATATGGATGTGGATTTGCGTAGATGGAAAGCTTTGAACAGTCTTTGTACATTGTAAATATGTATTATGATCATTGCTTAATAAAGAGCCAGTGGGCCTATTGCTGAAAAGGAAAGTTGGGCAAGAGATACAAACTAGGCGAAGTGGTGCAGAGTCAGATGAGTCACCAGGAGCCACTGAGGAGCAAAACAGGCTGGGGACAGGAAAATCCATGAGCCACGTTTCAAGATGTAGATTATTAGAAAGGGGTCGATTTAAACTGTAAGAGCCAATTGGTATGAGCCTGAATTATTGGCTGAACACTTACAATTGAGTATTGATACTCTGTGTCGGTTATTTAGTAAGTGGCAGGCAGGAAACAAAGGCTATCCACAAGGAAGATCAGTGAAGAGTTCCGGGAGAAGGAATGTCATCAAAATAAATTGTATGAACAATATCTTTCTTCAATACCAATTCAAATTATTTTAAAGACGAATACTAACTTCACCAACAAAAAAAGGAAGGAATAATAATTCATGATTACCAAAGAAATCTGTTATCCTCCATTACAGGCTCTTGGCTCTTCCATGTCCCTACCAATAAAGTTTTATTGGGACTACCACACTGGATTGCTCATGTTTGTGTCTCCTCCATGTCTGTTATGGGTTACAGCAACAGAATATCTGTATTGTGTATAGGACACACTTTATAAAGAAACAATTGCGATAAGCATTAGACAGAGACTTACAGTTCTTGGCACTATTAGTTCATCTTCAATTATTAGCAGTACAAGCTGAATTTTGTTCCCTTGTGCTAGATCTAAAAGTACAGGTACCTGTTTGTGTGTGGTGACCCAGGACTTAAATACCAGCACTCAGAAGGCAAAGAGTT